TGGACCATTAATGTAAAATGTATTTTTATAATGGACGTGTTCCGCGGACTTTCGTGAAAGTTGAAAAACAAGAAAATCGAGGGAAAGAAAGTGTTCCGACGGGAAAGAGAAGGTAAACGGACGGGCCGCGGAAAAATTTCGAGGACAACACCGATTCGATCGATTACAGTAATATGTCACCTTAACCGACGCTCAGTTTGCGCACAAAAGTCGACAATTTGGGAAGAGGAGATACGATTATTCGAGCCTCGCGGCCTCGTTTTCATGGTTGTTGACAATTCGTACCATAGATTGGAGAACACGCAAGGGTTACTATAAACTGCTGTAACTTTGCGAGAAAAAATCGCAGCCGAGTTTCTTTTTTATCAAATTAAAGGGGAAAGATCGAACTTCGTTCTGCCGCGAACGGCATCTCGGAGAAAAATTGTCCAAAGTCCGTGCGATTCGTCGAACTCGACGATACGACGTATGACGTACGACGAACATGGCCTCGCATTCAAAGGGTTACAGTGGCGAGGATGCGTGGAACTTAAAATCCAGGCACGCTGTCCGAAAGCAGAGGTTTCGAGCTTTAATTTAAAAAAAGAGTCATCGTCCCGAGGTGATTTTTCGCGGAGTTATCGTCGCTCGAAGTAGTCCTCTGTTAGAACTCGATGTCTCGCTTCCAAGTACAGTAATGTCTCCCTTACTGACGCACAGATTGCGCACAAAAATGGACAATTTGGAGAGAGGAGATGCGATTATTCGAGCCTCGCGGCTCGTTTTTATATTTCTTGACAATTCGTAACTATAAAAACGAGCCGCGAGATTCGAACAATCGCGTCTACTCTTCCCGAATTGTCCATTTTTGTGCGGAATCCGAGCGCGAATTAGGGAGAAATTGCCGCGCTGTTTTCGACGACGATCAAAGTAAAACAGCGTAGCGCCAGAGATTTAGCGTGGAATTTTCGATCGAAAGACAAGGGCTGCCGGGCAGTGCACTTTCTCTAAGATCGTGTGTGCCCACAGCGATCGCGCGTCCAGCCGATCGGTTCTTACGCGCAATGACGCAGCTTATACGCCGATTGTCTCGCGTGTCTCTTGTNAGCCTCGCGGCCTCGTTTTCATGGTTGTTGACAATTCGTACCATAGATTGGAGAACACGCAAGGGTTACTATAAACTGCTGTAACTTTGCGAGAAAAAATCGCAGCCGAGTTTCTTTTTTATCAAATTAAAGGGGAAAGATCGAACTTCGTTCTGCCGCGAACGGCATCTCGGAGAAAAATTGTCCAAAGTCCGTGCGATTCGTCGAACTCGACGATACGACGTATGACGTACGACGAACATGGCCTCGCATTCAAAGGGTTACAGTGGCGAGGATGCGTGGAACTTAAAATCCAGGCACGCTGTCCGAAAGCAGAGGTTTCGAGCTTTAATTTAAAAAAAGAGTCATCGTCCCGAGGTGATTTTTCGCGGAGTTATCGTCGCTCGAAGTAGTCCTCTGTTAGAACTCGATGTCTCGCTTCCAAGTACAGTAATGTCTCCCTTACTGACGCACAGATTGCGCACAAAAATGGACAATTTGGAGAGAGGAGATGCGATTATTCGAGCCTCGCGGCTCGTTTTTATATTTCTTGACAATTCGTAACTATAAAAACGAGCCGCGAGATTCGAACAATCGCGTCTACTCTTCCCGAATTGTCCATTTTTGTGCGGAATCCGAGCGCGAATTAGGGAGAAATTGCCGCGCTGTTTTCGACGACGATCAAAGTAAAACAGCGTAGCGCCAGAGATTTAGCGTGGAATTTTCGATCGAAAGACAAGGGCTGCCGGGCAGTGCACTTTCTCTAAGATCGTGTGTGCCCACAGCGATCGCGCGTCCAGCCGATCGGTTCTTACGCGCAATGACGCAGCTTATACGCCGATTGTCTCGCGTGTCTCTTGTTGCCTCGTGAAAGTGTCGCAATCTCTGCGAAAGGTGTACACACACCGTGCACGCGGCGCGGAAGAAGGCACGCCCGGTATCTTCGATGCACGTGCACCGTTTTATCGCGGTTTATCAGTTTGCGACCACTGACTTGGACTGGTTTTTGCATCGGCACGATCTTTATCGGGGCTGCCCGAGTAAGTCGTCAGTGTAATTTTAAATTCGTGATGCGTCGATGCGTTATTAAAGTGGTTTAAGAGGGTATCGCCGGTGTTACCGCGGTTTTTGGATTTAAACGCGTTCGCCCTCCGGCCGCGTTTAACTCCGATTACAGAAACTCGAACCGGTTGCAGCTTTCCGGAACCCGACCGGGACCCGGAATAAATCTCCCTCTCTCTCTCTCTCTCTCTCTCTCTCTCTCTGCTCTATTCCTCTTCTCTCCTATCCGCATCGATACGTTTCTCCACCCTCCCCCTCCTTTCTCTTTCTCTTTCGCGCGAGGGGTCGTGGGAGGTCGACTCGCGACACTTCGTTTTTTAATACTAGATTCACAGAACCGTGAAAATAACGGATCAACAATATCTTAATTTAGCTTGTAAACAACGTCGGTCGATTTGGCGAGAAGGAGTACTATTATTCGACAGTACAGTAATTTCTCCCTAATTCGCGCTCGGATCGCGCACGAAAATGGACAATTCGGGAGGAGCAAGACACGATCGTTCGAGCCTCGCGAAATCAAAATTGTCCGCGTCGATTTGCAAGACGCGGGCAGCCAAAGTGCGATCGTATTTTCTTTCGAAAATAATCATAAGTTGCGATCGCCGTGTCGGCATTTTTAGTTGGCTTCGTTTCTTTCGCCGTTTTATGTTTCACCGTAAATTTTTCAAATTCCCTGGTAATTACTAGGTCGCGGATTTTATGGATTTACCAGAGAAATTAGTGGCCGTTATTTCAAACGGAATTAGAATCGGTGACTAAGTAGTACTTCGTATCTTCTCCTCCGAAATTGTTCATTTTTCTGCGCAATCCGAGCGCGAATTAGGGAGAAATTGCTGTACAGGGGTGGCCAAAGTCTGATATTATCTACGTTTATTTTAAATTTAAACTTAGTTTTTGCTTTAAATTGCTACTTTTCTTATGATCACTTAACGCGCACACAGTATTATTATTATTTATTATTTATTTTATTGTTCTGCAACAATTTCTCAACAATTTCAACAATTTTTTATTCTTGGCTGTTACAATATTAAATACAACTAGCGCAGTTAATTGGATAAAAATTACTTACTATTTTTATTATTAAATTACTTATTATATAATTATCCGTATCGATATTAATACCCAAACAAATCTGAAACAAATAAATACAAAAATAAATACAAACATACATAATAAATATACAATATAAATACAGATAAATATCTAATATAAATATCTACAGAAATACGTTCGCGCCTTTTTCATTTTTTTAAAGCAAATGAAAAAATATAACAATATCGATTGCTCGAAAATGAAATAGTTTGCTAACCGTCGTTCGAAATAAGCATTAAATTCGTCGTGTCGTTTTATTTAAAAAAGAACAAAAAAGTGGACTTCACGGACATTTTGCATTCGCACGTATTATTATTCGACTCGAACGAAAGAAAAAGCGATAGAATTTCTCTCCGGTCGCGAAACAAATTAGAACAATTAATTAGTCGGGTTCGTACCAGTTTCGAAATAATTTCGCTATTCGTAAAAGCCGTTCGTACGAAGGCATCTCCGTTTCCGTAATTCCAGAGAGAGAGAGAGAGAGAGAGAGAGAGAGAGAGAGAGAGAGAGAGAGAGAGAGAGAAACATTTCTTCGAAACGGCACCTGAGCTCCGAGCCAATCGAAAGCAATGAACTTCCGTGATCGCAATTTTCTTGCAAGCTGTAGAAATGCTGCCGCGCGATACGATAAAACGATTAAGCGGTTCGTCGTGAGTTTGGATGGCAGGTGCCAATAAAAATCGGTTAAGCCTTATTACGGGTGACCTAGATTTGGGCCACAACTACAAGCAGACCTTGTAATCTTAATAAGGTGATCCGCCGAACGAACGGCCGGACCGGCCCGGCCCGGCCCGGCCCGTGCCACTTGTCCCGTGATGATTGAATAATCTCGCGGGAGAAAATGAGACCTGATGTTCGCGGAAATAAAAATATCCGTACACGCAACGCGCTCTTCTTTTTCTTTTTTTTTCCTCCGCCTCCAACCGTGAAATCTGCTTGTGCCCCGCAATTCCTTGTCGTCAATTTCGCGACATTTTCAATTTCCCCTCGTTATTTATGCCAAATTCGAGGTATTTGTCGCCTCGGTTCTACCGCGGTCTCGCATCCGCGACGATTGTTTAGCATTTTTATGTTAAGTTATGTGCAACGTTAATTTTAAGACAGTCCACCCCGTTTTTATGCCCGTGCCATAACGCATTTAATGCTGCACTTATCGAGAATCGTATGCCTCGTTTGCATTATAATTCGGCCGATAAAAGGAAAATTATACGGACGATTTAAACAAAATTATTGAATTCGTGTAACAAACTTTCTAAATAGTTAATGTTGTATTTTCTGAAATTGAAAAATATTATTTACGATAATATGAAACCAGAAACGTGTATCGATGTTACAGAAGCATTGTTAATTTGCCATCTGCACTTATTAATAAATCTTGACAAATTAAAACTTGAGAAATCTGTTTCGATAAATCGGACTATTTGTGTGCAGAATTCTTCTTTGTCGTAAAAATGAACCTTACCAATTGACAAAAAAAAAATACATTTCGATCGCTGTTAATTAAATATACGTATTTATCAATAATAATGCAACAACATTTATATATTAACTGGACTGTTCCAAGCTGAGCGAACATCGCAACGTCTTTTGACGATAACCGATGAACAGTTACGAAATGAATAAGATCGAAATGCTGCGGAAAATAGAAAACGGAAACAATAATTGAAAACTATAATTTAAATCTCTCGCGCCACTGCTCTGCGGGTAAAATAGATCTCCGTTCGAGCGGAGCTGAGCGATCAACGGGACAGGTAACGCCATTTTGCGGACGTGAACGGAAGGCAAAGGTGGACTGGCACAATTGGCACGACGCAAGCGTAGCCCTGGGGATTTGGTTCGGAAGCGAGCAAATCGGTACATGTATTTGGTGCATCGCGTGCATCAGAGAAGATTTCAAAATGAAAGTGCTTTCGTGATAGTATATTCCGTTTAAATCCAGTGTGTTGCATTTTAAGCGCGGTTTGGTTCCCGAGCACGGCAACGTTCGGCATGTGACATTATGCTATAGCCTGTAACCATATCGTCGAAAAAGAAGCTGAAACTCCATATCAGATCTTTGTTTATTACTCGCCAGCGGGGAAACTACCTGAATTCCGTAGAGATCTCATCAGTTTTTGTCGGCCGTGCGTCGTAAAACATCACACAGTCATCATACAGTGAGTGTCAACGATGTTTCTATCACACTTTCTCGCGTCTACGGATCGTCGAGTTTTTTAAAAAACACTTTCACACGTTCCGAGTGCAAACACGATAGTGTACGTATCAGAAATGCTTGATACAGCTTCTGTCATTTATTCAGCATGTCAAACAGTGTTTATCTGTAAAAACATTCCCCTTATGGCTGTCTCTCTCTCTCTCTCTCTCTTTCTCTCTCTTTCTCCTCCTCTTTGTTTTTTGCAAGATATATGTTGGTATCAAAGACTTCATTTTAAAGGATTCGCATACTTGAGTTTCCATGCCAGAAACATTTCCATTTTATAAATCTGTAATTAGAAATAGAGCGATTAATCGCCAAAATTTTATGCACATTTTGGATCGACGCTGACCATATACAATGTTTTGATTCGAACTATGATTCTACGTAGATTCAATCATATAGTTTTTTAAGATTCAAATACCAATGTAACATTTTAATTTTTGGACGATACTCTGTTAAATGATATCAGTGCGTAACATGCGTCCATTTTCATTGTCATTATACTTCTTTCTTTTACACTTTACAAGTGGAACCTAAATATTTGAAGTAATATGTAACGAATATAGTAAATATAACCCAAAGAAGAAAGATGCAAGGTATGCTTACGGAAAGGATTATAAACTTGCTCCGAATTACTTGGAATTTATTTCACTGCAAAAGATTGTTAATACGTTCAATGCCAGGCCTACTTTTATCTCTCTAATGCCCAGTAGTAGATCCCATTATCTAACACAAGTACAGCTTGAAAATCCACAGGCGAATTGTCTCGGATTGAATGTATTAACGCACTATTATTAGAACTGTAATCTTATCTGTATGTACCTAAACGCATTTTGTACGTTAAGCAATTTCAAATATCAACTCGTTATAAACTGCTTTGCTGTATAAATAGATAGCTATGTAATCATTTTAAATCATACTGACGAATCATTCGATTGCTCAGGGATTGAATAAAAGAATATACGTTTGAATTTCAGGAATCAAAGAAGATTAGGGGTCCTAGTGCGGGCACGTTCCAGAGCTGCGGTGGTTGGTGAATGGTGTTGCAGATAGACTCGGTGTGGGGTTGGGCGTCACCCCCACTGCGCCTCCAGCTAGGGGGGTCGAGGGGCGCCTCGGGGAGAGCGACCGCGGGCGCCCCATCCTCGCAGAGGATGGGTGAAATGGTTGTGGAACGCGCGCCTTCTCCAGCCCGTCTCAGCCATACCTCTGAAAAACATCCTCGTGCTACGCTCACAGAACTGAACGTTCTTCGTCGGCATCGGGAGCTCTGCGATGTCGTGCTCAATGTCGGCTCTAGGAAGATATTTGCACATCGTGTCATCCTATCAGCGTGTAGTCCGTACTTCAGGTAAACCATACAATCTGTAACCACCGATCTTCCGGTCTAGTTAAAATCACAGCTGATATTCTGTATGCGTATATCTTGCAGAGCAATGTTTACTGGGGAGTTGGCGGAATCTCGACAAACTGAAGTGACGATTCGTGACATAGACGAAATGGCAATGGAATTATTAATAGACTTTTGTTATACTTCACACATCATCGTCGAAGAAGCAAATGTTCAAACTCTCCTTCCAGCAGCGTGCCTTCTCCAGCTAGCAGAAATTCAAGATATATGTTGCGAGTTTCTCAAACGCCAACTCGACCCCTCTAATTGTCTAGGTATACGAGCGTTCGCGGACACTCATTCTTGTCGAGAACTTTTACGAATCGCGGACAAGTTCACGCAACATAATTTTCAGGAAGTATGTACCTCTTTCTGGATTGTCCCGTTTCAATGTATTCTTTCATGCTAATTAATGTTATATTCAAACAGGTAATGGAAAGCGAAGAATTTCTGTTACTACCCGTCGGCCAGTTAGTAGATATTATCTCTTCGGATGAGCTGAACGTGCGGACAGAGGAACAAGTGTTTAGCGCGGTGATGAATTGGGTTAAATACAATGTTACCGAGAGGAGACAACATTTAGCGCAAGTTCTTCAGCACGTCCGACTACCACTTCTTAGTCCAAAATTTTTAGTTGGCACCGTAGGGTCTGATCTTCTAGTGCGATCCGACGATGCGTGCAGAGACTTGGTGGACGAGGCAAAGAATTACTTGTTGCTTCCCCAAGAAAGGCCGTTGATGCAAGGTCCTAGAACACGCCCCAGGAAACCAACGAGACGCGGTGAGGTGTTGTTTGCCGTCGGAGGATGGTGTTCCGGCGACGCGATTGCGAGCGTTGAAAGATTCGATCCGAATACCGCAGACTGGAAAATGGTTGCACCGATGAGTAAAAGACGATGCGGTGTAGGAGTTGCAGTACTGAATGACTTATTGTATGCGGTGGGCGGTCACGACGGGCAAAGCTATTTAAATAGTATCGAAAGATACGATCCCCAAACGAACCAGTGGTCGTGTGATGTGGCGCCAACTACGTCTTGTCGGACGAGTGTGGGTGTCGCGGTATTGGATGGTTTTCTTTATGCTGTGGGTGGTCAGGATGGTGTACAATGTTTAAATCACGTCGAAAGGTATGCTGTCATGGAAATAAACGTACAAAGTGGGATCAAGATCGTAGCGCGATCGAAATATTCGAACAGTAAGACCATTAATTTTGTATTAATCATCGATTTTGTTTAGGTACGATCCTAAAGAAAATAAATGGTCTAAAGTATCACCAATGACTACCAGAAGACTTGGTGTTGCTGTTGCTGTATTAGGCGGTTATTTATATGCCATCGGCGGGTCTGATGGACAGTCGCCTTTAAATACAGTGGAAAGATATGATCCAAGGCAAAACAAGTGGTTTCAAATATCTCCTATGTCTACGAGACGTAAGCATTTAGGCTGTGCTGTATTTAATAATCTAATTTATGCTGTCGGAGGACGAGATGACTGTATGGAACTCTCAAGTGCAGAACGGTATAATCCCCACACAAATTCGTGGAGTCCGATAGTTGCTATGACATCGAGAAGAAGCGGGGTAAGTGCAGTTGTACATTTTTGTTTAGAACGATATGACGCCGGAAACGTTTATAAAATTAAATGAAGGGCATCGTTCAACTGACTCGCGTTTTCCTTGTGCATTTGTATCAGTTCTTCTTATTGTAAGTCTACAATAACCCGTCATGACCATCCCGGGATAATGTACAATTTTTTTGTATCATATTACAGGTGGGTTTGGCGGTAGTGAATGGTTTGCTATACGCTGTGGGTGGCTTCGACGGAACTGCCTATTTAAAAACAATAGAAGTGTACGATTCGGAGCAAAATCAATGGAAACTGTGCGGTTGTATGAATTATAGAAGATTAGGTGGAGGAGTGGGAGTAATGCGGGCCCCACAAACCGAAAACTACATTTGGTAGCTCAGGCCCCCCTCTTCAGTCCAAGTGGCTGAAACTCCGACAACTCCGCTTACACCGGTAACTCCTGTTACACCTGTAACTCCCCCCGCTCCTGTATCGGTTCCTGTTGTTATAACTAATACTAGAAAACGCTTCCGCCGATCGATGAGCATTATATAATACATGCATTTTACAAGACTTTGCCTTTCTAAAGATAAAGTCGTTTTTATTGTAAAATCGTGTTGCATTAATTTTTAGCTTATCACGATGTGAGATAATTACTTTGTACTAAATATGGATGTATATTTTCCTCCGTTTACGTAGAAAATATGTCCTTCAACGATGTTCATACTGCCGCGAGTACAGCATTTTTTTCTGTAATATCTTATTTTCTTTTTTAAGTTAGCTCCTTTACATTATTTATATATCCCCTTTATTAACTACGAGACACGAATTACGATCATTTTAAGCATAAGTATTACATTATTGTAATTTTGTTGATGAAACAGTTGTGTATATCGTGAACGTTTAAGCAATATATATGTATGTGTGAAAGAAAGCAAATAGAAAGGCAAAATCTCTTCTAAGTATTCTGGAACACAGTACTCATTTCGATGGGATGCTCGCACCTTCCATTTTACAATGACTCAGAGAGACGTAAATTTTTACAATTCGTATCAATGACAGAACTTCGTTGTGTAGAGCAGCTCGCACATACACCGATACAATAATAATAATAATAATAAAATGAAACCAACCAAACGAATTATTTCTGTCTCGAATAGTATGCTTTTTACGTGCATCGTATTTATCAACAAGACTGAACTGAAACCAAAAATTACGTAAACCCGATGAATGAAACGACCGCTTCTGGCTCTAAGCATGCTTTTGTTCACAAGCAGTGAAAAAAAGAACGCGTACGCATTGTAACACGAGTTCATCTCTTACCTATACAATACATTTGAACGCATAAAAACCTTTTTTTTTGTTCACATCACAAAAAAAACTCACGTTTTATAAGTTCAAGTTCTATTTAAAGTGACAAAATAGTCTTATTGTACAAAATGGTGATAGGGATCATTGTCCAACAATTTCATAATGTAACGTTTGTGATAATAAAATAATAAGGAACAGCAAATTCGGCTGGGAGTGTAAGCAATATTTTACTATCAAGTATGCTTTTGTAATTATTTAAATAGAAAGTTATATGAAAACTGTAAAAAATTTTTGTCGATTAATTACAAATTGAAAGTTTACGAATCATTCTAGGTTTGTTACATCTATGAGATTGTTGATGGAACCAGAACATGTGTCTAGTATAAGAATATACTGACGATATGATGTAATTGTCTCCAATAGCTTGTTAAAATATTACTATTAGAAATTATGTATGTTTTCGACATCGTATTCATAATTTTTGTCGACAGAACGATTTTGTTTTTGATTAATAGTAAAATACGAGGACATTTTCTATTTCTTCATGACTACGATATATTTCTAAAAATCCATATAACAAATGTGAAATATTTGTGTTGAGTTCGAGTAATCCGACTAGAGATTTATAATGGTACAAATTACTGTAATCTACTAAACAAAGTTCAAAAAAGTGTTCAACGTAAAACTTGATTTACAAGTAGGCAACTTGTAGTTTTAACGAACTACTATCTCTTTCTAAGACTCTCAATCTCCATTTAGCATTTTAATTATTAATCGAACCGCTTTTAATTTGTGTCACAAACATCTTTAAAGAGAGAAGATGTACCGTTTATATCAATATTTTTCATTTGGTTGCAAATCATGCTCTCCATTAAGAAACGCATTTATTATATTCACTCTAATAAATCGATTGTCTTCAGTTTTATTCAGTAGTATATTTATTATTAGCACAAATTTTTGACTTTATAACGAATTTCACAGTTAGAGCAGACAATCAAAATGAACGATTTATGTACGCAAAATAGACTGTAATTTATGGTGCAATT